TACCTGGCAGGGGAGATACCATGATCATCAAAGTGGTTTTCCCAGGGTGAGGCTCATCTATTGCACTTTGGATGTGCTGACCCCTGTGATTTCCCCAAATATGGGAAAATCAACTGCCTAAGTGGAGGACTGTGTTTGTGGTTTCCCCTGGTTTTTCTAGAATTACTCTTTCCCCTTTGGTCCTTGGCTGTTTTCACTGCCTGCTGCCATAGGCCTGTTGGCCTTGCTGGTTTTCCAGGTGGGCTCCAGGAAGCAGATCCTAGAAAGCCAGCAGTGCAGAATGCTGAGGTCCAAACAGCAAGGAGTCTCTGGTGCTAGTTCAGAGGCCTCCCATCATGGCACTGGGGGGCTTCTGGGTGGTGGTGGTTGAACCCCTTTTTTACTGTATTCATTCCATAAGACGCACATACTTTCTCCCCCACTATTGGGGGGGAAGTGGGTCTTATGGAACAAAAAAATACAGTACTTCAATTAGCAGGTCCTGGCCAAGGTAACAGTTATAGGCCAAATGGACTGGACTGCCACAGGAATGCTAAGAGATGTTTCTGGAACAGAAGTTACAGTCAATCAAGAAAGAACAGCTGTTTTGTAAGACATTGCAGAAAGTTGGATTACTAATATATGCAGTGTGCTAAGGTGATCTTTATTGAGGCCCATAGAGATGCACTGGAATTTATTATGTAGACAATTTCTCCTGTCTCCCTCCCAAGCCTCTCTTTGTAATTCCTTTTTTTCTGTAATAGCTACTCTGAAATCCATAATAGAATGTCCTGGGAGGCTGAATTGTTCTGAAATGTGTTTCTTTCCTTTGTTGTTCCTGATATCAGATTGTGTCCCATTCATTGCTTTCACTGAGAAATTGTCCTGTTTGTCCTGCATTGAAAGCAGAGCGGCACTGCTGGCAGAAGACAACATAGATCACGTAAGAGGAGGAACAGATACAGTATGTATAATCCTAATGTTGTGGCTGACATTGTTGTCACCCTTGATGATGCAGTGTAGAACAGGAGCACAACTGGAATCAAGGTATATGACAGGGTCTTGTCCCTGCCTCTGTCTCCATCTTGTGCTGCCCATTGTGTGTGAGTAGTTGTTTAAGGTTGTGGAGGGGTGTTGTTTTCTATGGGCAAGAATGGGTTGGTCTGGGAGAATGAATACTATTCTCCAGAGTAGGTGCAGCTCACTGATGATACAATATGCCTCAGTGGTTTCAGTTGGGATCTGTAGATAATTAACTAATGGTTTTCTATCATTATCTCTATTAAGTATGCCTTGTGTCAATTGTTCTTGGGCACCAGTCTGGTTCTATCAATTTACTTTTTAGTATGTTCAGTGAGAGGGATGTGGTGGCGCTGCGGGTTAAGCCGCACAAGCCTCTGTGTTGTAAGGTCAGAAAACCAGCCGTCGTAAGTTTGAATCCACGCGACGGACTGAGCGCCTGTCACTTGTCCCAGCTCCTGCCAACCAAGCAGTTCGAAAGCATGTAAATGCGAGTAAATAGGTACCACCATGGTGGGAAGGTAACAGTGTTCTGTGTCGAGTCATGCTGGTCACGTTACCATGGAAACTATCTATGCACAAAATGCTGGCTCTAGGGCTTGGAGATGGGGATGAGCACTGTGCCCTAGAGTCAAACACGACTGGACTAAATGTCAAGGGAAACCATTACCTCTACCTATATTGAGTGAGCATTGTAGTTTAAGAAATGCATGCTCTAACTCCATGAGCTCTAAGCTCTACCCTGTGGTTCTAAGCAAATTTGGTTTTATAAGAAAGCAGGTCCATAGACAGTGGACTAGGTGGTGAGTTTTGTGTGGAAACTGGAGGCATGCTAACAGTCAGTGGGTTTCCCATATAATGTAGTGCTGATATGACCCTTGTATAATTGCATTGTGGTATCCAGAAGGTGTACTCATTGTGTTTTCTGCTCCAGTCTTTGATTGATAGAAGAACTGAAGTTATTGAAGTCCTGGTAGAATTTCTCCAGTGGTTCCTTGCCATAAGTCCTGATAATGAGGATGTCACAGGTTTCTAAGCACATGAATTGAGGTGGTGGTGGGAGAATTTCAGGAATATGTCTGCATACTGTGCAGCCATACACGTGCACATAGCTGTTTCATTGATCTTGACAGATATGCTGTTGTCAAAAGTGCAAAAATGATGTCAGTTACAAAGTCACACAGGTTGGTAGCCAGATTTGTCACAATCTCATTTGGAATAGTGTTTTTGCTGGCTTGTAGACCATCTTTATGAGAACTATTGGTGTAAAAGTACCTGTACATCCACTATGGTCAGGATGGTGGCCTTTGGAAGACTGTGAATGTTGTTTCTTAGGAAGTCTTTTCTAGCTATTATGTAGCTTGGGATGTTGGAAGCATATAGTTTAAGAACAAGGTCTATATATTCAGATCCCCTTGATACGATGGTGCCAATACTTGATACAATAGGCCATCCAGGGTTAACCAATTCATATATATTTTTGGAAGTAGGTAAAAGTTGTCATTCTGTCATTCTGTCAACTCCTGCGATGTCGCTGGAACCAGTTGTATTGGCTCTTGCCTTTCCCTTGGACTATTTCAGTGATGTGGGATTTGCTGGTTGGGTAACAGCCTATCCTCCATATTATTTTACCCAGGCTTTGTGCCCTGGAGAGGACACTCCAGCTTCACGTACAGCATAAAAACACTAGACGCTGTTCCAAGTCCTCCATACAGAGCACATTACCATAGTCTCTCGAGACTGAAGGATGCCTATGATAAGAAGAAGCCTGGTTGCAAATCTTGTGGTATGTTAGGATTTTATCACATCATCTCCAGGAAATTCTTTCATTGGGATTACTAGTTCTTTTTAGTGCTCAGCACTTGGGTCTCTGGTTAGGAGGTTGTAAAGGTGACAATCTCTCCTTTATTAATCTCCCTGCTGAAAATATTGGGGTTGTTTCTGTAGCTGTGGATACATGAACGCTGCAAATACATGGAAGGCTCAATCCTAGCTATTTCACAAACAGCTGAAAATCATTTGCAAAAACTGAAACTATGCATAGAAAGCTTGTTGTCATGATGCTATGTGACATTAAATTGCTACTGATGTATGGTGAGTGTAATAGAGTTCTCAAGGTATATGAGATGCTTAAGAAGTATTTTCTCACTGTCATCTTCTAGTGATTTGCCATGGCTGAGCAGGGATTTGAATCCAGGTCTCATGAGTCTTAGTCTTGCACTCTACCCACTACATCATCTGTCTCATAGAAAACATAACCCATAGCAATGAGCCCTGGCTGGAGGGTATGAGAGATATAGTCCCCCAAAGGAACTTTTCTATGCTCTGTAATTAAGCATCTTAGAAAAAGCAAATTCCATTTGATCTTTCAAGGGTTTCTAAGAGCTTAGCAGGGATCTTAGCTAGGAGCTGTCTACCTTAAGAAAAAGAAAAGCTAATAAAACCAAGAGGGGGGACAGGGCGTACAAGTCATTAGAACCTTTTGCTCATTGTTGCTGTTTTTGTTAAGCTTATAGTTGATATGAATTTTAAATTTCTTGAAAAAGCTTGCAAACGGTGAGGAGAATATTATAATGATCTTTCCAGAGAAGTGATTCTACATATATTTGTCTTGGTATAGCCCTTTAAACAGCTCAGATATATATCTTACTAAGTGGGTCTTATACCTCAGTATGGGTGCATAAGAAATTGATACAGCAGGATTTATTAAGAAGCACAGACTGGTAACTTTATTTTCTTGCCATCTAGAACCTTCCAGCCAACATGGTCAGTGACTAGCTGACCAGTTCTCAATGAGGTAGACCAAAACATTAATTTTCAAACTCTGCTATATTCACCACTACAATATAGCCCACTGGAGTGATACAAAACAGTGGCTATCGCAAGGTGAGTTCAGTGAAGAGGTGCCAAACTGGAATTTGCTTTATATGCATGTATATTATACTGTATATGAAAAGTCAAATATGGCAAAGAAAGTTAACCTAAGATATTTTCTATTCATAATAAAATGTTTAATCTATATTTCTGAAGGAATTACACCTTGTCGTTGTTTTCCACCAATTTCTGCAGTTTGCACTTTCCTGTGCTTTTTCCCCTGCAAATCAAATTATTCACGTGTTACTCAAGGGTATTGCTGTGCTGTTCTCGTGCATCTGTAGGGACCTTTTGCCATCAATAAAGATGGCATAAAACCAGCCATCTTGTCATGATATTACCAGAAACCTTATTAATATGTACCAGCAATGTACATGACTGGTTTACATGGTTAATCTTTCCCCATTTTATTCCAGAAACAACCCTATAAGGTAGGTGGAGCTAACAAACGCAGGCTTCTGAAAGATACCAGGGAACCTTTATGACTAAGCAAAAATTTGAACTTGGGCCTTCCTGTTGCAAGACTAGAACTCTAACCCTTACATTGCGCTGGCTCTCTCAGATCAATGGCTCCTATAGAAACTATTTCAAAGTCAACATCTATAGGTAGAAAAACAATGCCACAGTTGATGTGCTTTATTTGCACAGTAAGCAAAAACAGTGTATTTATCTACCTAACAGGCAAGTTAGGCTGCCCAGATTTGGAGAATTGGAATACAACAACTCTACAAAAAGTACGTATCTCTTTTCAGTTTTATAGTGGAAATAAAGGAAATATGCATAACACGGGGTTAGAGAGCGAGAGCGAGCACAATATCCATACTTACACTTGCACACTTTGCAGCACTGGCCTGGCATGTGAACGGGGAGGCCATCAGGAGAACAGTTCAGTGGTGGACAAGCCATTCGCCGGCACTCCACAACCCCACTCTATGTAACGAGAGGGGGGGAAATGGAAGTTAAATTTGTGTAACTCATATTTTGGATAAAACACAAATTAACACATAAGGGAAAAAAATTAGTTGAAGGACAGCAATATTGGAGACTATGTGCTAAATCCAATTATTGTCCCAACTAGAGTAGATCTATAGACTTTAATATGTCTATACTTATGTTGATTTGATGAGCCTGCATTGGTTAATACTAGTAATTGTATTTAGTCCTATAATACTGCTATTCTGAAACAGCCAGTATCTTAACTCACTGCTGCTTATAAAGATCTTTATACATTTCTGATAAAAATATTTCCTTTATCCAACCTGCCAAATGGTGCTAAGTAACTTAGGCAAAGGAAAAATATTTGATAAGCACATAAACAATACCTTCTACAGTCTGTGTCAATCATATTCAACATGTGAACAAACAGTCTTCTATTTTCTTGGGCAAAGAAAACCTCTTTTCTGATAGTTATCAGATAATTTCAGCCAAACAAGATTTACATACTAATTCAACCGCTGGTGTTCAAAATGATAAATACTATAACTAGCATGTGCATGCTGTATAATTGTAAACCGTACTGAAGAATAACCAAAATAGACTGACCCTAGAAGAAAGAAGCCATTTTTAAATGTACCACACATTTGGTTCCTTCACTTTGTTTTACTCATACTGGTATATAATCAAAGTAATTGTCATAGCTGATGTTACAGTTTCAAGAAACTTTACTGAAAAATGTAATATAATTTATAAGTGTCATTAGAAAGGCCTTACTTTGCATGTGCAGTTCCTGCAGTAATCATCTTCTACCCATGTGTCTTTGTCTCGATAGATCACTCCGTTTACTTGACAAGTCTTCTCACAGTGACAGTTTTCCAACTGACTAAGCCTCATTTCTGCATAATTTAGCTATAAATGAAAGCATTACTTGATTTAATTTCTGGAATTCATGCACAGGGTTTAATACAAAGCAAAACAAAGGTAGCTTACTGATTTTCAGTGAAATTATATTTTATCAAACAAGCCACATTAAAACAGGAGAACTTTAAGCTGGTATAATCCACCAAAGGCAATGAAGCACAACCAATTCACACCGTATGTATGTCACCATATATGCATATCATTGGTTCTTCTAGCTGAAGTATCTCAGTTAAAAAATTAAACAGTCTCCAGGAGCAAGAGGCAGTGGGAGATCTCAAAGCAATTGCCTTATCTGCAACTTGCAGTCAAAAATAATACACACAGTTGATAAAGTATAATTATTACTTAAAGTCTTCGTTGTTCTTTGTTCATTTAGAAATAAAGCTAAGGAATTGGTACTCAAGTTCTCTTCTCTGTTTTGGAAAATATTTGAGATGGGCATGTTTCCTGTTCCAGAACCAGCAGTAAAATCTCAAACATCACCTTTAACTTCTCTACTAAACCAGATCTCTCTCTCTCCTACTTCCATCTACTGGACTTCTTACGGCATTTAACAGTTCCAGTTGGAGGAATCTGAATATATAAATGAATATTAAGCTTTGTTTAAACTGAATCAGACCACTGGTCAATTTAACCACTGGAATATTAATGGCTTTCCACAGTCCCAAGCCCAAATCTTTGCTATCCTTGCTTTCTCTTCAGACCATTTTTAAATGAAGGCAAAGGGTCAGGATTTGAACCATTTATATGCAAGATGGGTACCTATTATCAAGTATGTCTCATCTTCCTAACCTTAATTCCATACAAAAAGGCTACCACTTTCATGGGGCAAGACTGTACAAGGGCATCACAGAAGCCTTGAGAGTTTGTAAGGTGAAGAGCAAAAGAAAGGGATAAGAAAGCCAGAAAGCTAAAGAATGCAATTGTGATCAACTCTTCTCAGCATAACCAGAGATAATAGTGACAAGAGCTTCTCAGACTGGTCCACCTTGCAGACAGCTAAAATATTAAGTGAAAAGTATTGGGAATTCTTTCAAGTATATGTTTCTTGACAATTATGCAGAAGAACCATGCTGTTACTATTAATTATATTTATAAACAGAGCAGATGCAACTCAGAGAGAGGTAATGGCATACCTACATATTACTGTAATCATCACAGATCAGTAGTTGACAAATGTCTTTGTATATGTACTGCATTCTTGTCCAATCACATATTGTATAACTGCACAGTCTACAACTAGGTACTGTATATGTGTCTCACTTTACCTCTGCTGTTATAATAACAACAGCCTAGTTTTATAAGCCCAGTATGTTTCTATACCATTTTCATATTGAGTCAACCTTGAAGATTTGGGTTGCTTCCAGAAATTTAAAGAGCATGAGAAACAAAGCATTTCTCAAGGAATCATATTCCTTTACCTTATGTCTGAACCCAAAGGGATTATTTTGTAGCTAAGTACTATCAAATGTGAGCAAAACATGTGTGCCTTACAGGAAAAAAATATATAAAATTTACAACAGTAATTTGCAGCACTTAGAAAATGACAAGAAAAGTGCATTTCATTGAACTGGTATCTCCTTGGATTTTACTATTTTCTGCTAGTTCTCACAAAATAGCCATAAGCATTATTTTACAGAAGTCCATAAATTCTTATATCTCCTATCTAGTAAACCAAAATGCTTCAAGGTAAAGAAAGAAAAAGGGCAATATATGCTTATTAAATTTTGTGGGGGGTTCTTAACCCTCCTTTTCCCCAGGGTAAAAAAAGAAAAAAGAAGATTTTTCCATAATCCAGAGTTATCAACTAAATGGACATTCACTCAAACACTACCTCACTTCAAAAAATGGTTTTTAAACTTTAAAAGTCAAAAAGCCATCCTTTCTTGATGAACCAATAATTTGCCTTATTTTTAGCAGTCCCCCACCTCCTGCATTTCCAGTTACAGAAACACTACATATACACTATGTTGAACTGAAACTGCACTTGAAGATACTTCAGGATCTTATTTAACTCTTTCTATTTGGATTTATAGGAGACTGGATCGCTAAAGTAGGGAGTCAAGAGATATAAGGAACAACAGGTAAGTTTGGCCTTGGAGTTTAAAATGAAACAGGGCAAAGGCTAATAGAATTCTGTCAAAAGAACAAGCTGGTCATCATAAACACTCTTTTCCAACAGCATAAGAAGAGACTCTACACATGGACATCACCAGACGGGCAATACTGAAATCAGATTGATTATGTTCTCTGCAGCCAAAAATTGAGAAGCTCTATATCATCAGCAAAAACAAGACCTGGAGCTGAGTGTGGCTCTGACTGTCAGCTTCCTAGAGCAAAAGTCACACTTAAACTGAAGAAAGTAGGAAAAACCACTGGGCTAGTCAGGTATAATCTAAACCAAATCCCTTATGAAGACATAGTGGAAGTGAAGAACAGATTTAAGGAACTTGATTTGGTGGACAGAATGCCTGAGGAACTATGGATGGAGGCCTGTAATATTGTACAGGAGGCAGCAACAAAAACCAAAATGCAAGAAAGCAAAGTGTCTGTCCAATGAGGCCTTACAAATAGCAGAGAAGAGAAGGGAAACAAAATGCAAGGGAGATAGGGAAAGTTACAGAAAATTGAATGCAGACTTCCAAAGAATAGCAAGGAGAGACAACAGTGCAAAGAAATAGAGGAAAATAATAGAAAGGGGAAAACCAGAAATATGTTCACAAAAATTGGAGATATTAAAGGAACATGTTGTGCAAAGATGGACATGATAAAGGACAAAAATGGCAGGGACCTTACAGAAGCAGAAGACATCAAGAAGAGGTGGCAAGAATACACCAAGGAATTATACCAGAAAGATTTGGATGTCCCGGACAACCCAGATAGTGTGGTTGCTGACCTTGACCAAGACATCCTGGAGAATGAAGTCAAGTAGGTCTTAGAAAGCATGGCTAACAACAAGGCTATAGGGACGTGGTGGCGCTGCGGGCTAAACCGCAGAAGCCTGTGCTGCAGGGTCAGAAGACCAAGCAGTCGTAAGATCAAATCCACATGACGGAGTGAGCTCCCGTCGCTTGTCCCAGCTCCCGCCAACCTAGCGGTTCGAAAGCATGTAAATGCGAGTAGATAAATAGGTACCACCTCGGTGGGAAGGTAACAGCGTTTCGTGTCTAAGTCGCACTGGCCATGTGACCACGGAAGATTGTCTTCGGACAAAACGCTGGCTCTATGGCTTGGAAACGGGGATGAGCACCGCCCCCTAGAGTCGAACACGACTGGACAAAAATTGTCAAGGGGAACCTTTACCTTTACCTTTTCATTGACTATGCCAAAGTGTTTGAATGTGTGGACCACAGCAACCTATGGCAAGTTCTTAAAGAAATGACCAGTTTATCAATCTCTTGAGAAATCTATACATGGGACAGGAGGCAACAGTTAGAATTGGATATGGAACAACTGTTCAAAATTGGGAAAGGAGTATGAGAAGACTGTATATTGTCTCCCTGCTTATTTAACTTATATCCAGAATACATCATGTGAAAGGCTGAACTGGATGAACCTCAAACTGGAATTAAGATTGCCGGAAGAATTATCAACAACCTCCGATATGCAGATGATACCACTCTGATGACAGAAAGTGAGGAGGAATTAAAGAACCTTTTAATGAAGGTGAAATAGGAGAGTGACAAAAATGGTCTGAAACTCAACATAAAAAAAACTAAGATTATGGCCACTGGACCCATCACTTCCTGGCAAATAGAATGGGAAGATATTGAGGCAGTGACAGATTTTACTTTCTTGGGCTCCATGATCACTGCAGATGGTGGCAGCAGCCACAAAATTAAAAGACATCTGCTTCTTGGGAGGAAAACAATGACAAACCTAGACAGCATCTTAAAAAGCAGAGACATCACCTTGCCAACAAAGGTCCGCAGAGTCAAAGCTATGGTTTTTCCAGTAGCAATTTATGGAAGTGAGAGCTGGACCATAAAGAAGGCTGACTGCTGAAGAATTGATGCTTTTGAATTGTGGTGCTGGGGGAGATCCTTGAGAGTCCTTTGAACTTCAAAGAGATCAAACCTATCCATTCTGAAGGAAATCAACCCTGAGTACTCACTGGAAGAACAGATCCTGAAGCTGAGGCTCCAATACTTTGGACATCTCATGAGAAGAGAAATCTCCCTGGAAAAGACCCTGATGTTGGGAAAGTGTGGGCAAGAGGAGATGGTTGGACAGTATCATAAAAGCAACCAACATGAATTTGACCCAACTCTGGGAGGCAGTGGAGGAAAGGAGGGCCTGGCTTGTTCTGGTCCAAGGGGTCACAGAGAGTCAGACACAACATAATGACTAAACAACAACAACATTTGGGTTTAAAATTAGATTCCTTTCCCATGAAAACAACATAGTTAAATTTCTTTTCTTTTGAAAGGAAGAATGCACTATATAACAATGGGGGGAAATCACACTAACAATACATTTAAGCTGCAGTTCTGTCTAACAGAACTTACATGTGAGTAGTCATATACACATCTGTGAGAGGGAACAAGCATCCCAAGCAAAGGAAAGGAAAATATATGCTACTGTAAATGTCTCTTAGGTCTCTCCCATCCCTCTGTGCCTGTTTCTCTACAGTAGAAGAAAACACCTACCAGATTCTATTGGTAGAACAATCTTTCCTCTCTAAACAATTGTGAACAGCTTTCTCTTCCCACATAAGACACAAAGTAAGCATTTATACCCTATTACAGGTGAAAGCACTCTTGGTGAATGCCAGACCTTCAGCTCCCAAACACTTTTATCTTTCAGAACCACTACCTGTAGAGATGGAGCAGAATAGTCACTGAACTCACAGTGCTCTAATTCAACTCCCTATGGAGCAGAGCAAGACAACCTACAGTCCTTCAAATACTGCTGGACTATAGCTCGTACCAAGGCTGGATTTGACAACCAGCCCATGATGAGGGTGGATGGGGATCCCAGTCCAACATCCTATGGATAAGTCTATACACATCTCATCTCCAGTATAAAGGATAAAGAGTAGGTACTGAACAAAATCCCACTGCATAAATTTAACCTGGATTGGACCCTGAAAATATTCATTTTAAACTAATAGAAGGCTTCCTTCCCCCAAATGCTCTCAGATTTTTGAGGCTCCCTGGGTCTCTTTTCCTTGGGGGAAGCATGTAGGAACACTGAACCTGGAGAGGAGAGGCGGTGAGAACAGAGTGAGGCAGGAAATTTGAAATATGTCTGGTGGAGGAGAGCAGGAGTAAGAAGAGGGAGGAGCAAGAGCTGTCAGTCTGGGAGGAAGGTATAAGTAGTCAGGGGGAGCTGCGGTTTGAGGTCAAACTGGAGTTGTGGAAGTGTAAGAGAGAGTTAGAGAGGCTACAGGAGTATGAGAGAATGAAGACGCAGGAATTGTTACGGGATTTTCTGAACCTTAAGTTAGGGGGGCTGCTACCGGATCCCACCGCAAGAGAAGCAAGGGAGGTGAGACAAGAGACGCTGGAATGGTTGGTCATAGTCTTTCCTAAGAATAAGGGTAGAGGACGACAGGTGATTGGCCTGGATTCCCGTTACAACACACCTCCCCACACACACCTCCCCCCGAAGGAGATTGGGCCCAGCACCCATGCTGTAGCACCATTTGTGCAGTGCAGAGCACTCCCCTCCAGAAACCCACGGACACGGAGAAGTTTGGCTCAGCACTCCTGTGAGTTCGATCGATGTGGGGTGGGAGTTCGTGTTGGACAGTTACGGCCTGTTGCCTGAGTTAAGCCTTTTTGATCCAATTCTGAATAATGGCGAGCAACATGTAATCAATAAAGATGAAGTTGTGAAGGTTAAGAAAGTCTCCTGTGATATTTCCTGCGCAAAATGAGGAGTTGTCAAAATCTGAAACTGAACCTGATCACAGCATGGTTCATGCACAATGATATAAAATCACATGAACTCTGAAATTTTTTTTTAAAAAAGGAACGCTTTAATTGTGGCAATCTGCTGTGGCCACTGATGTCATTCTTGTTGGATAATCAGAGCTATGCAAAAGCACATTGGCAAAAGATTCCTTGAACATATGTGGAGTACATTTCCCTCACAGGCAATAGTTATAACATGTCCATACAGAATTAGGAATGGAGGAAAAAGAATTTCTAGGATAAATGTCTTTCTAGGTGAAATTTCCAGGAGAAATGTCTCAAGGAATATGATTTTTCAGGGATGCTTAACTGACAGCACACATTTTAGAAGTTAACCTGTGAATGTATATTTAATCAATAAATATCGTCAGTAAATTTACATTTCACTTTCCTTTACTCTGACATTCAGTTTATTTAATGCAAAGGACAGCAACAAAACATCAGAGAAAATAAGAAACAAGAAAATAAAAGAAAGGCATGTAACCTTCAGATCGTTAATCATGTATTATCTAGACTTTTAGAAAAATAAGGAAGAAAAACATAATTAACTTGCCAAGGGCAAATCACTCAATACACTGCTTAGCTGGCACCTATTAAGACCACCAGCATGTCTCAGAATAATTATTTCACTTTTCTGCAATAACATAAGCTAAAATTTGACACTTCTTTCTCCAAAGTGATCCTGTCCAAAGCATAGTGATCAAGGGAGTAGAGTATAGAAAACAAAGATAAGACATGGGGTAAAGATAATGTGAGCATTAAACTTGGATATGCTCTGAATAAATAAATGAAAAATTGGACACTTAATAACATTTTCCTTCAGATATAAAAACAAAACAGGCAAGCAATGTTCTCTTTAATTTCTCCCAACCACTCAGCATAACTTTTAATGCTTTGAGCAAAAGCATTTTAAATTCAAAGCTACTGTGTGACATCCAAATCAACCTATTCTAGCATAAAGCTTACTGTCAGTAACTATGCCTTAGGAGAACATTTCAACTTTTCTGTGTGAGAGGAAAATATACAGAATCTGGGAAACTATCAAACATTAGGGAATGACAATTTGGAGAAGCTGGAAGCACTAGATTCAGCCTCAGGGCCTGGAGTTCCCCACCACAACTGCATAGATTACTCCTGTGTCCGATATGTGGATCTGCCTTTGAAGAATGCTCAGACGAATGTCATCTGCCCTATGATAAAATAAATTGCTGGCTTTATTTAAAATATTTTTACCCTGCCTTTCACCTTAAAAGGACCCAAGGTGGCTTACAACAATTAAAAGACAATATTTGAAAGCTAAAAAGAGTGGATATACAAATATTAAAAATAATTTTAAAAAGTAATATATTAAAAACTCCCAAAAGATAAGTAAAATAAACAGCCATCATCCTAAGAACCTATGAGTGTCATGATGCATACCACAGGGATGATTTTGCAGACGCTTTCCAATATGTATACATAATACATTTTCTTCATTGGAAAGGATTAATTTCATTATGACCATCAATGGAAGGAAGCAAGGAAAGAGCTCCTCTGCCTTTCCAAAAGGAAAGAGGTTCACTTGACTCTGCCTTATTTGCATGAAGGTAGCCTCCAGTGATGTATGGGCAAAAAGGCTACTTGAACAGGAAGCAGCAAGGGACTGTCTTTAAAGCAGGGCTGAGGAATATGGTAGCCCTTCAGATGTTGTTGGGATTCCAACACCCCATTATCCTTAGACAGCATATTTAAATGGTCACATAGCTATAGTCTAATAACATTTGGAAGGGCAGAACATCCCTGCCTCCACTTTAATATGCCACATTAACAGGAGCTAGTTGGATAGAAAATTATGATATGATACAATGCCATTCTTTACCGAGCTGTGGACTGAAGGAGAACAGAGAAAAAGGACAACTGAATGAAAGCCCATCCAAATGCTTTTGTATCTCCTCCAACCACACACTCACTACACACTTAGGCAAGGAGATGCTGGTGGGGCATCGTTTTTTCATATGGTATTTGTTTGACCTTTTTTTAGTATTTGTATACTCGTTGTTAACTTAAAATGCTGCATTTTAATGCTGTATGCCACCTTAGGTCCTTTTTAAGGAGAAAGGCAAGGTAAAAATATTTTAAATAAATGAACAAATAAAATGACTGGCTAACAGACTGTAGATTGTCCCCTGAACTAAATGGCAGTGTGGAAACTGTTTTCTTTCACTGTTCTTAGTGACCCTGTGTCATTCCCCAAATTACTCTATCTTCTCAGCAGCCATCCTGACACATATTACTCTATCTCTCTCTCTCTCTCTCTCTCTCTCACACACACACACACACACACACACACACACCAAGAATCTCAGCAGCAGTGATTTGTTTACCAGGGAGAAAACAGGTAGAAAGTTATGCTTGGGTTCATGTTATGACCAGGATTTCAGCCATTATGATTTTGTACCGCAATGCTCCAAAGCCATTATAGGAAATGTGGAGGAAAGTGAAAGAGAGGACATGGCACTACTAGGAGCTTGACAGTACTTGTGTGGAAGTTTTTAAATGTGGGGTGGGGGACCGAAAAATCTTTTTCTTTTTAAGATAAGAGATAAGAGACAAGCCTGCTCTCTCTGAAAAATATATTTGAGAAATTCTACCTATGACAAAAAAAAAAAAATAACAAGAATATTACACTCCATTACCGGTGACTGAACATTTCTGATTTAGTAAATATACATGTTTTAGCCCATAAAGGAAAGAGGAAAACACAAAACAAAAGAGAGAGGGAGATAAATAACTGGGTACCTACTTTTGCTGTCATTTTAGCGAGGAGTTCCTGTAGATCCATAATTCCCTGCACCAGGCTTAAGAAGTCACTGCAAGTTGGACAGGCTCAATAAAGGGAAGAGAAAAAGGACAGATTACTTACCTGTAAACATGGTTCTTTAAGTGGATCGCTATGAATACACTTCATTGGGTTAAACAGCACCTGCGCTGGTCCTCTCGGAATCTTCCAGAGCTATAGGGAAAAAGTAAACAAAGTTTAGGTTGCCCTGTATAGTGCATGCTCTGCCCGCCAAAGCCCCAGTTCCATGTGCCCACACATAGAGAGAGTTGAAACTCCCTCTGCAGTGATGGACATGTGGGGAGGCCAGGCGGGTCGTGTGTATTCATAGAGATCCACTTGAAGAACCATGTTTACAGGTAAGTAACCTGTCCTTCTTAAATGTGGTCTCTATGAATTCACACCAGTGGGTGACTAGCAAGCTCACTTACAGGATGGTGGGCCGTCACTGTAGAACTGACGTGAGCATAGCTCTCCCGAATTTGGTCTCATTCTTGGCCCCTAGTTCCAGTCTATAATGTGTGATGAAAGTAGACACATTGGACTAGGTAGCTGCTCTGCATATGTCAGGGATGTCAACTCCTCGCAGCAGGGCCGTGGATGTGGCAACAGCTCTAGTGGAATGAGCACAAAGACCTTCAGGGAGAAACTTATTCTGTAATTCACAGGCCAGGGAAATGGTGGAAACCAACCATCTGGACAGAGTAGATGATGAGGCAGCAGATCCTTTGCGTTGACCATAGAAGCAGATAAAGAGTCTTTGAACCTTTCTAAAGTCCTTGGTTCTTGCAACATAAAAAGACAGTGCACGTCGAACATCTAAACAGTGGAGAATGCGCTCAACATCAGATCTGGAAACAGCGTTGGTAACAATAAAGGTTGATTAACATGAAATTCTGAAACAACTTTAGGGAGAAAGGAAACATCAGGTGCATAACCACCTTATCCTTGAAAAACTGGAGGTATGGAGAGCCTGCACGAAGTGCAGCTAACTCGCTAGCTCTCCAAGCCGAAGTAATGGCCACTAGGAATAAAGTCTTGAATGATAGGAGCCTAAGGTCATAAGTAGCCATAGGCTCGAAGGGAGGATGAGTAAGGGAATGAAGCACAAGCTGCAATGACCATTGGGCTAAGGGCCTTTTCACAGGAGGTCTCATATTTGAAAGATCTTTGAAGAAAGCCTTTAATGTCGGATGGGAGAACCACCTAGCTGATTGATAGTCTTGGGGTTGAAAAGCTACGATGGCTGACGTATAGACCTTTAACGTAGACTTAGTCAGTCCCAAATCGAAGAGATGCCGAAGATACAATAATAGCATGGATAACGCTACTGGTGAAGGTTGTAAGTTTTGTTCCCTGCTGAATTTCAGGAAGCCTTGCCATTTGTGTTCGTAAAGACGGCTAGTTGATGGCTTTGTAGTTTGTCAATTACCTCTTTTATCGATGGGAAATCCTCCACGCTGTCAAGTGGAGGGACTCCACATCTGGATGAAAGATCGACCCCCAAGTCCTGGGTGATTAGCTGTGGAATGAGGGGGAGCTTTAGTTTGTCTGTTGCTGACTGGAGAAGCAGAGAGAACCATGGCTGTGTTCCATGTGCCCACACATAGAGAGAGTTGAAACTCCCTCTGCAGTGATGGACATGTGGGGAGGCCAGGCGGGTCGTGTGTATTCATAGAGATCCACTTGAAGAACCATGTTTACAGGTAAGTAACCTGTCCTTCTTAAATGTGGTCTCTATGAATTCACACCAGTGGGTGACTAGCAAGCTCACTTACAGGATGGTGGGCCGTCACTGTAGAACTGACGTGAGGATAGCTCTCCCGAATTTGGACTCATTCTTGGCCCCTAGTTCCAGTCTATAATGTGTGATGAAAGTAGACACATTGGACCAGGCAGCTGCTCTGCAAATATCAGGGATGTCAACCCCTCGCTGCAGGGCCGTGGATGTGGCAACAGCTCTAGTGGAATGAGCACAAAGACGAGATGTATTGAGAGAAGAAGAGACTTCGATTTCGTCCCTCCTTGCTTGTTCACATAGAACATGATTGTGGTGTTGTCCGTAACCAACTGAATTGCTCTGCCTTGTACAAGAGGGAGAAAGGCTCTGAGCGCCTTTATGACAGCCAGAAGCTCCAGATAATTGATGTGGAGTGATTGCTCCTGAGGAGACCACAGTGCATGAATTTGATGACCTTCACAATGTGCTCCCCATCCCAGAGGACTGGCATCTGTGGTAACTTGTCTTGTGAGTTGCAGGGGGCGAAACGGGCGTCCCACCAAGAGGTGTGGTAGGAACGTCCACCACTGCAACTGTAGAGCCAACTCTGGGGTGACTGTCAGGCGCTTGTCCTGACTGTCTTGGAGAGGATCAAAGAGGGTGAGCATCCAAGACTGCAGGGAGTGCATCTTGAGGCGAGCATGGGACAGTGTGGATGTTGTGGAAGCCATCAGGCCCAGAAGATGCTGCGCAAGCTTCGCTGGTACTCTTGCATGGGGTTTGAATTTCTTGATGGCTTTCCTTATTCTGTGAATGCATTCTGGTGGCATGAACATGCAAGCACGAACAGAATCTAGCCTTGCTCCGATGTAATCCATGACTTGAGATGGTCGTAAATTGGACTTCTCATAGTTTATGGTGAGACCCAATGACTCTAGGGTGTAGAGGACATACAGGGTGTCTTTCAGTGCCTGTTTTTTCAACTTGGAGACAATCAACCAGTCATCTATGTATGGGTATATTTGAATCCCTTGCAGACGAAGGTAAGCTGCCACGGGTGCCATGCACTTAGTGATGGTTCAAGGAGCAGTTGAGAGACCGAATGGGAGGGCAACATATTGGTAGACAGTGTCCTTGAAGAGTAGACACAGGTACTTCCTGTGGTTCTGATGTATGGTGATGTGGAAATATCCACAACCACAAACCAGTCTCCTTTCTTCAATAGGTGAATGATGGAGTTCAGCGTCACCATTCTGAATCGGCGTGGCGTGAGGAAGATGTTCAAATCCCTCAGGTCCAGAATTGGTCTCAGGCCGCCGTCCTTCTTGGGTACCAAGAAATACCGGGAGTAGAAGCCGTTCAGGATGTCCCTGCCTAGCATCTTTTGAATGGCTTTCTTCTCTAGAAGGGTAAGAATCTCTTCTTCTAGGACAGGATCGAACGATGTAGGCTTGACCTGTCCTAGACAAGGCAATTCTGTAAGTTTCAGCCGGTAACCTGAGGTTATAATGCTCAAAACCCAGGAGTCCTGAGTTATGAGCGTCCAGTTGTGAAGGTAAGGAGACAGGCGGGTGGTGTGGTTGGTGGTCGGGATGATTCTTGGTAAGTCAAAGATATTGCTTGTGTTTCTTGCCAGGAGCTTTGTAAGACTGTCGCTTCTGTGTGGATTGTGGCTTAAAGGTGGTAGCCGACGAAGAAGCCTGAGAAGGACGGTGATTAGTCTGGGCACCAAATGAACGGTAAGTACTGGTGGAGGGTTGTTGGTAGGGTTGGGTAGTGTACCTAGGATGCCACTGGAATTTATTCGGCTTAGGCTGTTGCTGAATGGAGTATGACTTTGCCATCTTTTTACTCTTATGTAGATTTTCAAGGTTCTCATCCGTCTTTTGGTTGAACAAACCAGAGGCATCGAAAGGTAAGTTTTTCACCCTTGTCTTAATGTCATCCATAATGTTAGCAGAACGCAACCATGCATGTCTTCTCAAAGTTCTTAGCTGTGGCGTCCGCTATATGGCGAGATGCCAAACGTTGGTGCTTGGAGACAGTCAAGGCCTCAGCGTGGGTGTCAAGGCAGAGCTGCCTGATGTCTTCGGGAGCCACCTGCAATGCTGGCAGGATCCTAGACGAGAGCTGTTTTTGGTAGGCTCCCATGGCTACCAAGTAGTTGACAGCACATAAGACAAAAGTGGTCATAGAGTACATACGGCGTGCCAAGATCTCTAGTTTCCTCCCTTCCTTGTTGGAAGGAGTAGCGTGACCCTAGGCTGGTGTCTTGGATGCACTGGACTCTACAACTAAGGAGTTTGGAGCAGGATGCTTCACGAGAAAGGAGGTGTCAGCACCATGTATACAGTAGAGATTCTCTGTCCTTCTGGACATGGATGTAGAATTAGCTGGATGCTCCCAGTATTCTTTAATCACGTCCAGTAGTTCAGGCACATATGAAAGGCTCACTGGGTGAGACCTCTCTGAGTTAATATCGCCAAAGATGAGGTCTTCCTCTCTTGGGGGTGATTGCTCTGCTGCAAGTTTCAAGGTCTTGGCCATACGAGAGACCATTTGAGTATAGGAGGAGAAATCCTCAGATGGAGAGGAGGGATGCAAATCTGCAGCATCCGAGCCCAATGGTTCTCCTGGCACGGGAGTGTCTAGAGAAACTTCTGACTCCTCTTCCTTATCATGGTCAGATGAGCCTCCTAAGGTTGGTTGATCATCCTCAGAATGAGAGAGGATAACAGGTCTTTGACCTGCATCAGGTGCAATGGCTGTTTGCTTTGGACACGTTGGGATAGGTCTTGCATCCTGAGGGGCCCCGAAGTAAGAGGCATTCTTAATAGCCTTCGACATCAAAGGTTTCGTAGGCTCGACGTCAAGGGGTTGTCGATATGGAGAATGCCTCGGAGGAAAGCGAGCCAGGGAAGAAGAAGAATAAGTATAGCGGGACCTCTTCCGACGTCGCCTTCGATCCCTCGATGTCAAGGAAGACTCTGTAGAATAGTCTCTTTTACAGCGTCGATCGTGCGACCTCTTACGCTCTCGGCTGTAGTCAGAGTCAGAAAAAGAAGTATCCCGTCAACGCTGATGTCCATGCCTGTGTTTGTGTTGGTGTCGATGTTTTTTGGCGGGAGGCTCATGATCATCCCGATCAGATAGTGAATGTCAAGGTGAGAAAACCTCAACAGGCTTCTCAGGTCGTCCTCGAGGAGGAGGAGGAGACCTGGAAGGTAGTGATCCCAATGCAATTGAGGGAGATCGAGATTCCCACCCTGTTAAAATTGGGCTAGAAGGGGCATTAGCTAAGCCAGCAATGACAGGAGAAAGCTGGCTAGCTGTAGGTGACCTTCCCATGTCGACCGGTGGTTCTTGTCAAGGCGGAAGGGAGGCGCCTAAGTCAGACATGGAGTCTCGGTCCCGAGACGAATCCTCCAATATGGGTGATGGCAAAGAGGCAGAGACAGGTGGAACCACTAGAGTTAGTTCTTTTGCCTTAGACTTAGGCTTTTGAGGTGCCTTTTTCTGCGTGGCTTCTGACGATGTCGGTGGAGCAGAAGAAGCAGATGGGGGTTTCTTTGCGTTAGCCTGTTTCTTAGGTTTCCCCTTGGAAGTTTTCTTAGCAGTTTCTTTAGTTGTTTAGGGAGGAGGTGAAGAAACAAGAGTGACCTCTGAACGGACAGAAGACGTAGATAGGACAGATCCCATGTCTGAAGGTTGTGAAGCGGACAAAGTCTGGCTCCACAAAAAATACTTTAAACGCTGCTGGCGAGCCCTTAGCGTTGGCTTAGTAAACTCTTTACATTGTTTACAGTGAGTAGTTAGATGTGTCTTCCCAAGGCAAAAAACACAAAGGGAATGTCCGTCCTGAAAGGGTAATTTTCTTGAACACGGCTAAATGGCCCTCTCTTCGGTGACATAGGCCAAATAGTGTGGGAAAACAAAGTGAATAGGCAGCAATTGAAACAGTCCGGGAGGCGCGTGGCACCTCAGCAGGTGGTAAATAGGCCGCAATGAAGAACAATTAAGCAATTGAGGTACTTGCTGAATCTCCAGAGGCAAGAGAGTAGTTAGGCAGTCCGCGATCAGGGCAACAGAAGGTCAGATAGATGAAATAGCCAAGTCCAAACTGAAGGAATCAAGGCAGAATAAGCAAATTTGAAGAGCTCTGAACGAGAGGTTCCAACTCTGCGGGCAGAAAAATGGAACTGGGGCTTTGGCGGGCAGAGCATGCGTTACACAGGGCAACCTAAACTTTGTTACTTTTTCCCTATAGCTCTGGAAGATTCCGAGAGGACCGGCGCAGGCGCTGTTTAACCCACTAGTGTGGATTCATAGAGACCACGTTGAAGAACAAATAAATACCATATTATAAGGATCAAAAATCCACATGCCTAACATACAGAGAAAGGGAAGAAACTAGGTTCTAGTACTATGGCTACAGAATGTTTATATAATAAAGAGCACAAGAAAACTTGATACATTTTGAGTTTTTGATACAAAACGTAATAAGCAATGTATAGCGGGCAGTCTTGAAAACTTGAGAATGAGTAATTCATTATTGTCATCGAGCTCCTCACCAAGCTTGATGACAATAACGAATTACTCATCCTCCATTCAAATCCAAATCACAGTAATTCTGATGAAATTCTTAGAAATTACAGAAGCTTTGTTTACATTCCAAAAATTTCACAACGGGACTCTAAGTGAAACACAAATTTATAGACATACAGGTACTTATAATCAGCTGTGCAGTAATTCTCTGTTCCCAATTTATATAATGGAAGCACTTTAACCTATATCCCCCTTTGGGGGAGATTTATAATTTTAAAATATATATTATTTTATTTGTACTGTTGACAAGTTATAATGTAACACTATTCAGTTAAAATAATATGAACCACTTCATTTTGGCTTTACACATATCCTACTGATATGAAAGTCCATTTTGGGGGGAAATTGATCACATCATTAATAGCTGCAGCTAGACGTGAGACTGCTGAACAGCGAAAAGGGTGTTCTTCACTGTCATTAAAGAACTGTTATAAAATTATTTGGAACAAAAATATGTTTAAATAAATAAAAATATAAAATAAACAACTGAGAACAGAAAAATTATCACAAATGTTTAGGTTTTTCAAAAGGTCCAGACAAGTCAGAAGAGTTTAACTTAAAAGGAAAAAATTAGTGTGATGTATTGTTATTACTTAGTATTCAAGAACAATAACAATGGGAATTGGTGACGGCCTGTGACGGCTCATGAAACACTCAAAGAAACTCCAAAAAGAGCCACCTGTGTAGGACTACTGTTCACCTTGCATCTAGGGAAGCCTAGAAAATGATCTGCCTTATTACTTTTTGTACTGCTTTCTTATGTGCCAAGCCCCAGATAACTGCAGCCTTCCTGTTTTTATGTACCCTATTAAGCTACCTGTCATTATTTGCCACATGCCAGTGTGATTACTGGCACACACCAGGGTTAACAAGCAGGTTGTAACAGTGGCACATATCAGCACTTGCTTTTAATCCTTCCTTTAAAAAGAAATACTACTCATTAATACACTCATTACTCTGCTAATTGTATTCTGGTATGCAAACCTGTTTTGTTTTTTAATTGTACTTTTATGTTATCTTGCTGAGAACCATCTTGAGTCCATTTTTTAAAAGGGAGGATGTAAATTCAGCAAGGAAACAAGCAAAAAAAGCTTGTAAACAGCTACATTTCCTTAAAACGGGATTAGGGAGAGAAAATTACCTGTGAAGATGTAAGCGGACATAAACAAGAGATTAAGAAATGCAGAGTATCTTGTCTTTCACTATATATACTTGTCTGCCCATGCTACAGTGTGTTGATGAGGGCAGAAAAACTGCAGTTCAGCTTGTCTTTCACCAGCTTAGGGACAGAGCAGTCATCACAACTCTTAAGGGCTGATCAAATCTGAGGAGCAGTTTTGTGGTCAGTGTGAGAGATTCAACTATTTTAAAACAACCTCATTGCTATGTTCACTACTTTCCAGAAGACAGGTTGCCATTGCCATTATCATTGCTCCAAATGCAGAAACAATTCACTGAATTGCATATTGTTAATGTGTCACATTTGTCACTACCAACATGGCACAAAAATAAAGAAAAACTCTCTGGTTCACTCTAGTGGTCAAATATGACAGTGCACCTATGAAATATTTGTAAATCAATGGATAAACCAAAGAACAATTTCCTTGCCACTTAGATTAGATTAGGCATCCTTCAGTCTCAAGAGACTATGGTAACGTGCTCTGTATGCAGGACTTGGAACAGCATCTAGTGTGGCTGAGAAGGCCAATTCGAGAGTGACAATCCCTTCCACACTGAAGACAAATACAATCTGTCCCCTGTCCAGCTCCCTGATTTTGCCTGTTTCGGGACTGCCTCTTGGCCTTGGCCTGCTGGACAAGGGTCTCTTCAAAATGGGAGCGGCCATGATGCACCACCTGCCTCCAGGCTGAACGCTCAGATGTCAGGGTTTCCACTTAATAACTGACAGGAAAATGCCATACAACCTGAAATTTTTCTATCAAAATTCTTCTAAAAGTGCTCAGTAAAGTAACTTCTGAAAGTAAACACTTGTTGCTTATTACATGTAACTTCATAATTATTAGTTATAGTGCTAACTCAAAAATAATATGGTGCAGAAATACATGGCTTGTTAACAAATAACATCTGAGCACTGATCAGAATAATGTGAAACTAATGAAGAGTAATCAACTCAATTAAGGAAGAGGAAGTGCAAATCAGAATTCTTCAGCTTTCACAAGAGGCGCAAACAGATGAGTTCTAACAATCAGAAAATAAACATGAATATCTGAATATATAATACAATAAAACAGGCTTCAAACAACCAGTCTCTTGTTTTAAAACTTCCATGGCTGGGCTTACTGGAAAGTAAAATATTAAATGAGACCAAGATCTGTCAAGTGCTTGCACAACATGAGGTAGTGATATAAAATTGATAAAGTTATAAACATAGGGTTTGCTACTTACTGCGATTCAGATTGGGACACTGTGTTATATATCCATTAGGCATAAAGATGACTTTCACATCTTGAAGGACACCCTTTGCAATAGAAAAGAAAGCTGGTAATATAGGTTATAGTCAACTAAAAACACACAAAATAATTTATAGTTAGATGCACAGTCCCAGATACCCCCCAGAAGAAGGGAATGGTAAAACACTTCTGTGTATTTTATACCTAGAAAACCCTGGAAAGTACCACCATAAGCCAGAATCAACTTGATGGTGCATAATTATTTATTATGTTAGCCACATGCATAGCCAAATGACCCCATTTGTGGCCTAGTACTGTACTGTATATAAAAGGGACGTGGTGGCGCTGCGGGCTAAACCGCAGAAGCCTGTGCTCCAGGGTCAGAAGACCAGCAGTCATAAGATCGAATCCACGTGACGGAGTGAGCTCCCGTCGCTTTGTCCCAGCTCCTTGCCAACCTAGCAGTTCGAAAGCATGTAATGTGAGTAGATAAATAGGTACCACCTCGGTGGGAAGGTAAAACGCCATTCTCTAGCCACGCTGGCCATGTGACAACGGAAACTGTCTTTGGACAAACGCTGGCTCTACAGCCTGAAAAACAGGATGAGCACCGCCCCCTAGAGTTGGACACGACTGGACTAAAAATGTCAAAGGGAACCTTTACCTTTACCTTACTGTATATAAATATCATTTTGAAGTACCTCTCAAGTAGTATATACCCGAGGATACCACAAACTTAAGTCATATGTCTCTGAGATATTACTTTAGTCTAGACTATCACTGGTGCAAATGCTGCAAGGACCCAGTGCTGGAAGAGAGGGATGTTGCTCACTTCATTTTCTTTGTCTACTTCCTCCTGAATCTCCCGAGTACTGCAACACTAGCTGCAGGACTACTGAGCACTAATAATTACCAAGTGGCGCGGAATGACCAACATGATCCCCTCAACTCAGTACCATGCAAGAAAGGACAGAGGGAAGGTTCACAGTATAGCTTTCCCTAATGGGAGGTATCAAGGTTTCCTGAACTTGTGGAGGGGGCCAAATTTTCTTTGGTGTCACAAACAGCCATTACAGTATCCACAAACAATCCCGACAGAGTTTCTTTTTAAAAAAAAGTAGCTGCGATCTCCAACCCGCCCACATTCATTCCTCGAGTGAATCCTCTGTGTAGTGCAACATTTTAAAAAAGAGCAATACGGTGTATCTCCAGAAGAATGAAATGGAAGTAGAAAGACAGGAAATCAGTGTGAGCCCAAATGTATGGAGAGGCAATATTTGCCTGTATTTTCTGTGAAGGTGGTTATGTTTTCCCTGTACATGCATGTGTCTTTGGGGAGGGGGTTTGTTCCTGTCAATGGGATGGCAAGGTATATGTGCATGCATCTGCATGATTCCCCCCTTCCGTCATTATTTTGTTCATAGTTTCAGCACTGGGTCTGAGGCACAGAAGGATCCTGCCCATGTGTACACTCTGTGAGGATGCAGGGACTCAGACTTACCAGGTGATTAGGAAAGCCTCTCCTTCAGACTTGATGCTGAAACTGTGAACAATGTGATGATGTGAGAAGGCAAGGTTAGGTGTTCCCCTCTAAGCATATTTGCAGTGTCAGTTTCCAAAACACCCAAATACTTCTCTAGTCTGTTTCATATCTGAGTACACAGGCATAAACTGGATTGTTGTACTGTGTTGCTCCTGACTATAACTTCTGAGTAAACAGGATCATGTGGAGATTCTTGGTGATTAATGCGTGAAATACTTCATTTTGTATTCTTTCCAAACGTGCAGCTGCGTTCTAAAAAAATCTCTCTTTTCTGTGAGTACCTGAGAATATCATAATCATCAGTATCATTCTATCCAGTCACCTTTGCAGAAATGTCTTCTGCATCCTTTTTTGCAACATGATGCAACCAATAGATTATTGTTTCGTTAACATTTTGTTTATTAATTAACTTACAATTTGGTAGGTTTTTTCAAGTTGCAATGGAGCTCTGTGATTCACTGTTTTACTGTACTGTACTTTTATTACTCTACACTGGTCTAGAATCTTTAAAGATGAAAGGCAGGTAGATTAGCTTCTGAAAATTATGTATGCATCATGCAAAATGATCTACAACATCCCATGATTCTATATCTAAGAATAACCCTTATACATTAGTCCACAAGTACAGTAGTATAAATCTGGTGCTTATATGAAAGACGCACGATTATCATGAAAAGCTACATTAGTTATGACAGCTAACCAGTTGGACTGCAGTCATTATTTACAAATCCTTGTTAAAAATAATTTTACAGAACAGTATTGTATACTCCTGTACACTAATCTATCAAAAGTAACTGAGAAAATAAGTTTAGATTTTAACAAATATATGTTAATATACCTGTTGGGAAAAACAAATTTTGATCTTAACTGTACCAGCTAGGAAAAAATGAAACTCAAGACTTGCTCATACGCAGAGGGTTAAGCCTGAAATATTTCCTCTTTGCTTCCTATCTCCAAAGCCCCAGTTCAGCGTGTAGCTCAGGGTGCTTAAGTGCCACTATATTCAATTTTATTGAAGAAACCAAACTGTTTGGTAAATTATGTTCAGGCTCGAGAATAACAAACAAACCATTAACAATGACAGATGAGCAATAGAAAATATGAAAAGGGAAATCACTGCAAGGCCTACCACAGAGCAAACCCTTCTTTTCCATTAACCTGCACTAGGTCTACTAAATGGTTACATTATAATAACATGATTTAATAAAATAATTCCTCAGAATGGTTTTTGTACCCTATTGTCTTCAGTAGAACTGAGAGCAGGACTGCACCTCTGAGGCCACTGTTGGTGTATTTAGAAAATCAGCCCATCCCTAAACACCAAAACATGTTAGTTGGGGGAGGTAACAAAATCCTTGGCTACTAAACAAAATTCTGACAGACTTGCACGTAGTAATACTGAACTTTTTCCCCCTTTAGTTATACAGGCTCACACCTTCAACTTTGAATAAGAACATCCTCTGTAAATCTTCCATGCACACACATTTCACATTTTATGTGGGGGAAAAAAGTCTTTGAAAACTTAAGTGTATCATCAAGATCATCCTTTGACAGAAAAAAAAACCCACACCAAACGCTTGATCAAAGATAACAACAGCTACTTCCAGTTAAAATGCAACAGAATGGATGCTACAGAACAGATGGAGAACACCGTATCTTATTCAGAATACAGAGCTAACACTATAAATAAAATATAGGCTATGGTGCTTCAAGCTTTGCAAATGCAGCAACATTTAACATTTATGCATTCATTTCTCTGGCAGCAGAAGGTAATCAGCCAGCACCATTTCCTGCTTGTTATTTCAAGATCAAATATTAATTGAAAATATTAATAGCAATAACCAGATCACACGCAGCATCTCATGGAACATTTATTAACCTTTTCATTTGTAAAAACTATGAAGTCATCTGAATAATGAGAGGTGAGGTTGTTGTTTGGCAGGGATACCTTATAAACCAATCATTAATATGATTTTGAAAAGGGCAGCTAGCGAACAATCAGTCATTATAAAGAAAACACACACACAACTGTCTGAGACTAGTATTTAAATAGGTGTAAATGAAAACCAAGGTCTCTTGCTGCATTTGTACAAATCCATCACACAGCAATACTATCTGAAGCCTCACCGAACTGGCTCTACATCCAAGAATTCACATTGCCCAGGTCACCGGTAGTTACCTATAACTAAAACTGGATCTGGGAATCCAGGTTAAAAATCAGCATTAATAAAAGCCAAAATTCCAGACACATCCAATGTACACTGCAACCAAGGCACATCACTTCACTTTAATAAGATTTCTTCAGCCTGTGCTTAAGATTAAACACCTGTTGATTGGCGCTGCTGGCTTTGAGGCTTAGAATATAAATGCTTGACTACTGTTTTATTTCTCAGCGCTAAAAGTATACAGCACACTCTGCCCGTTTAAAAGGGGAAAAGCAAACCCTGAACTTCCATTGCTTCCCTCTTGAGCATTTCATCTGGATTTGTTAAGCATTCTAAGCTGGAGAATGGCCCAACTCACATACCACCCATAGGTCATCTAACTGCCCACTGTTTCTACAACTTGAACCGTGTGCTTTACGCGGTGTGCTTTTCTTGCTACACAGGTTAATTAGTGATTTAACAGAGATTCCCCACCAGTTTTTAAATGTAGTAATAGAGTGTGTGTGCCTATAAAACATAGTTTTCTGAAAAAACTAGTCAAAGAACCAGTATGAGGCTTTTGTCACAGGAAAGTCAAGTTGTAGTCTGTGCTCTGCCTTTAGCTTCAGAGAATTGTCAGAGCAACTGTTACAGCAGCAGCTCTAATTATTCATCCACTGATGCTATGATCTACCATTGAATGCAAAAATAACTGCTTTATCTTGGTTCCTTATCAGAGATCTTATGGTAGAGGTTATCAGTAATACTGATGCCATTTTGTATGCTGCACATAAACATATTAATCCTCAGGGCTCATCAGAGGGGAGCTTCAATTTTTTTTAACCTTCTTTTGGTATTTTCTCATTTGAAAAAACTTACAGAGAGCATCAGAAAAAGGAAGTGGCCCAAGTCTCTCTTGACCTTTGAGAGGGCCTGTTAATCACTGTTAACAACAACCGGAAAAGAATCTCCTTTGTGGGTTCACACACACACACACACACACGCACACACTTTTTAAAAAGCATAAAATAATTGTATTTTAAGATAGTACAGCAGCGCTGTCTAGATCTAACCATACAACTGTAAATAAGAAAGAACAAATGTACCAGATAAACCATGACAAGGATTAAATGGGAGGAACCCATCTGGTCCCTCACCTGTGTGTTTTAATACAGAAGCATGATTTGCCATATGTCAGCTTGCTTATAGGAAAAAAACTGAGCCACAAACTACAAGTCGGTTTTCTTTATCCTTCTACTGTCTTCCCAGTTGTTGTTCTAGTAGATGCAGATCAACAACAGAACACTGATACATTAATGTTTTCCCCAGCAGCATCTGTGTGTCTTCTAACAAAAGTGTTTACAGGAATCTGCTATGCTGG